AGGAGCCATGCAGGCTAGGGAAGTGGCAGCGGGAGCACAGAGGGACACCACAGGTGAAGAGGAGGGCACAGAGTGGCAGAATGTGGCCAAGAATCGCAAGTACTGCTGTCTGAGACTCGCTGGATGTCAAGGGTAAGGGAGTAGCTCACAGAAGGTTCTAGAATGCCTGCCTCTAACTCATTCACTAGGGACTTAGGGAACGGGATCATGTAAGAAGCTTCGCTACCCTTTGGGGATTACAAGCCCATCTCAGGACCTGATGGAAGCTAAAGATGCTCTTTCTAGAAGTTTGTATTTTTTATCCAACTTCAGGGGCTTCAGAAACAATCCCCATGCTACCCGTGCCTTCCACCAACCCCAGGCTTCCAAACTGCTCTTAGTGTAATCACGGAAACCCTGATGGTGGCGTCCAAGGCCCTGCAGGATCAGGCCCCGCCTAAGTCTCCAGTCTCACCTCTTTGCCCTCTGCCTTTCCCGCTCAGCCACGCTGACCTCTTTTTGCAGTTCCTGGAAATACCTGCCGCAGGTCCTTTGCTCAGGTCGCTTCCTCTGTCTGGAACATGCTGGCCTGCTCTTGCCACTTCTTGCTCAGTCTCATTCTGTTACATGGTGAGTGTCTGTCTCCTCACACTTGGCTTTAAACTTCACAAGAGCAGGACATTGTCTACCCTTAGTTGCTGCTATATCCAGCACCGGGCACAGCGCCAGGTCCACAGTGTCTGTTTGAAGAAGAGAATGAGGACTTGCTAGTGCCGGGTGGCTGGGTCAGGCTCCTCATCTGTACTTCCCACTTCCCTTCAGCACCTGCAGGGTCAGCACGTGAATCCACCCAACATGCTTGTGTGTGTCGGCATTTCAAAAGTGGCACCACTTTGAGATCTTTTCCTAGAAGTCTTTGCCCCATCCCTGAAACCACCGGGCTTCCCACAGGTCTCCCTTGCCTCTCTCAAGCTGAAGCTAAGACTCTTTATCATGTGTGCATTTTAAAGCCATTGTTTTAATTCATTTCTTTTATTTGAGAGGAAGATAGAAAGAAGGAGAGATGGAGACAGACGGAAAGAGATAGACAAAGGCCTCCCATCCACTGGTTCACTCCCAAATGCCTGGAGCCAGGCACTCCATCCAGGCCCCCCACGTGGGTAGCAGGGAGTCAAGTACTTGAGCCACTGCCTCCTAGGGTGTGCATTAGCAGGAAGCTGGAGCAGAAATGGGGCTGGGAAACTGGTGCCGTGGCATAGCGGGTAAAGCTGCTGCCTGCAGTGCTGGCATCCCATATGGGCACCAGTTCTAGTCCCAGCTGCTCTACTTCTGGTCCAGCTCTCTGCTATGGCCTGGGAAAGCATTAGAAGATGGCCCAAGTCCTTGAGCCCCTGCACCTGCGTGGGAGACCCGGAGGAAGCTCCTGGCTCCTGGCTTCGGATCGGTGCAGCTCCAGCCATTTCGGCCATCTGGGGAGTGAACCAGCAGATGGAAGACTGCACTCTCTCTCTGCCTCTGCCTGTCTGTAACTCTGCCTTTCAAATAAATAAATAAATCTTAAAAAAAAAAAAAAAGTGGAGCTGGAACTCAAACCCAGGTCCTCTAGTATGGGATGTGGATATCCCAAGGAGCATCTTCAGCACCGTGCCAGCTGCTTGTCCTGGTCACATGCACTTTGTCTTACCAAATCCCTACAAGAACCTGTGAGGTGGGGATCGCTCCTCCTCATCCGTAGATGAACACATTGAGCCTCAGAAGGGCTGCCCAGGCACCAAAGCGCAGGCTGTTTACCTCACCAGAGACAAGAAGGGGCTTCCCTGAGGCTGCCCAGCATCCATTTTCAACTGAGGACTAGAACTTCTGTCTCAACCCCAGCTGGGCCAAGAGGAAGGGCTGGATCGGAGGGGTAGCTCTCAGGGCAGCAACTACCCAGGTATAGCTGCTGCAGCACCTAGGGAAGTTGCTGAGCAGAGACAAAGCCCAGAGCGCCGAGGGCCGAGGCTTTAGGGGGCGAAGAGAGGGAGAGGAGGCCACTAGGGGCCCCCAGGTGCCAACCTCGAGGCAGCTCCGGCTTTCTTGAGAGGAGCCAACTGCCCCTGCAGGGAGGCAGGAAGGCTGGCCTGTTGCCTGTCAGTTTCTATTCCTTCTAGATCACTGGCCCCCTGGCGCCTCCCAGGGCCACCTTCTGCTCAAAACAGCCAGGGGCCTGGACCGTGGGGCCTGGTGACAGGACAGGAGGCCCTGCATACTTCACACCCTCTGCATGGCTCTCATTTCTCCAGTGCCTCCCAACTGTGCAGAAAGATTCCGAGGGGGGATGGGTGGGGAGCCAGGGCACCTGGATCCTAGGCTGACTTTGCCAAATAAAATGTGTTGGGACTCTTCTGTCTCCAGACTTCACTGTGCCCCGGCATGAAATCAGGCCGGGCAGTTTCCTCGCAAGAATGGCCTCTAGCTTGTGAACGGCTTTTCCTCCAATTGTTGCTTTTCTCTTTGGGGGGCGCGCTTGTCTTAGACACTGTAGAAAAACAACACAGAAAAGAGGAACAGCTTAGTGCCATGGCCAGGGCTGCCTCTCGCTATGCCCAAACGGGCAGTTTGACTGTTCCTGGATTGTGGAAGGTCCCAGAACAACTCCTAAGCCTGGCCTCCTTAACTGTGCTGCAAACGAGGATGTGTGTGGAAAGCTGTGGTTGGTGGAGGGGACAGATTCCAGCTTTGAGAATGGCCAGTGACTGAACCCCTTCCCCATCTCCGTTTTGTCTTTGGGAGACTAGGGCTAAGTGATACAGATTTGCCAGGGTGCTTGGGGCGATCGCAGCAGCAGCGGTGCCCAGCGCGAGTGCAGCCCGGGGTTTGGCCCAGGAGTGCCTGTGAGCTGGGCAAGCTGCTTCCTCTTAGGAGGAGTACCCAGCCCTCCTGGGGAGCAGGGAAGGAGCAGTTTCCAGTTGCAGTCTGGCCTGCAGCCCAGCCCGCCTGGCCCCGCCTCCTTGGTTCTTCCTTCTAGGGAAGGGCTTGGGAGGAGGGGGTGGTGACTCGATGGAGGCACCAGCCGGCGGGCTGGGCCAGGGGACCTACCCTTGGGACAGGTCTAGACCCGTGGAGCCCCCCGGGAGGAGCAGCAGGTAGGAACCTGGGCCCCCCCCCACCTCCCTCCCAGTCTGACCCCCGTGCCTTTATGCTCAGGCCTGGACCTAGTCCCTGGGCCGCCGATTCAGCAGCCTCCCGGCTTCCTGGTTCCTGGCTCCCCTCTTGGACTCCTGGAGGCCTTTGGCTTGGGGGAGGGAGCTGGCTCGAGGGGGGGCAAGGCCGTGGGCAGCTGCATGAGGACCCCGGAGCCGCCAAGCAGCACAGTGTGTGTGGCCTGTGACAAGGGAGCTGGGAGCTGCCCGGGTATGCCAGCCTGGCCTGGCACTGCACGGCTCCAGCCGCTGAGAACCTGAGCTCCACGCTCCAGCAGCCTCGGGGTCTTCCATGCAGTGAGCTAACCATTAAGGACTTGAGCTGGTGACTGGCACGGACATGGTGGCACTTGAGGCACGGTTACCCTGATGGCCACGAGCATTCCAGAGGCTCTGCGGAGAAGAGGCTCAGATTTCAGAGATTCCCTCCAGGGTTCTCAGATTTGTGCATCCTCAAATTTGCAGCAAGGGAGAGACAGCGGGCCCCTGGCCCAGCCTGCAGCCTCATGTTCGGGCTTTTGAACGGGCAGGCCCAGAGTGCAACCTGCCTTGGGGGGTTGGGGGGGGCTGTGCGGGACCTTGGGCTGGCTGACCTGGAGGGGCTGGCTCCTCTCCGAGCTTGTCCTCACTGCTGTGCCTGGGAGGGCAGGGAGCCGGCCCTGTGCCTCACTACTCCTCCCCCTTACCATTCTCTGGACTTTACTCACGGGGAAGTCTTTGGACCCTGCAGGAGAGGGTGGGGGCGCAGCGCTGGGGGTGGAGGTTGGGGGCCCTGCCTTGGGGTGGGGGGCGAAGCACTGGCTTTGAAGCTCAAGACTCCTGCTCAGAAGCAGCCTGTCCTCTGGCTCACCAGCCCCACCCACCCACTCAGCCCGGAGTCCTATCCTGTCACCAAGACCACTGAGACCTTGTCAGCCTCTCCCCCCCTCACCCCTCCCCTCGCTCTGGCACTCTCTACATCTCCCTGTCCTCTCTCTGTGTCTTTTGTCTCGCCCCTTTGCTGTCTTCCCGTTTCTCTGTTTCTCCTCGCCTTTTCCTGTCTCTTTCGCTTTCTCTCTGTCCCTCTCTCCCTCCTCCCTCAGTGTTTCCTCACCGCCCCCCCCCCCCTGGCCTGGGTCTTCCCCCCTCGGTGGGCCCAGAGCCCTTCCTACCCCTTCCTTCCTGGCCTCCCTTCCTGTGAGGGGGTCTTCTCCCAGAGGAGCCCCCACACATCTTGTCCCCTTCTCTCCCCCCCTTCCCATGTGGCGTCTGGTGTGAGGAGGGCTCCCTTCCCCCTTCCCTGCTGTGGTGTCCCAGCGTCTCCGTGGCCTGGCCCAGGTCCCCATGGAGTCATCTGGAACACAGGAGGCCCAGCCCGGCTCTTTCGTCTCTACTGCCCCCTGTTGTCGTTGTGTTCTGTTTGTGGTTCGAGTGCCGTCCTCTCTTTCTTGACTTTGTGGTTTTTTCTTTTTTTCTTCCTTCCTTCCTTCCTTCCTTCCTTCCTTCCTTCCTCCCTCCCTCCCTCCCTCCCTCCCTTCCTCCCTTCCTCCCTTCCTCCCTTCCTCCCTTCCTCCCTTCCTCCCTTCCTCCCTCCTCCCTCCCTCCCCCTTTCCTTGCTCCTTTTCCCGTCACCCTCCATCCCTCCTCTCTGATCCTCCTACCTTCCCTCCCTCCCTGCTCTCCACCCCTCCCCTTCCATCCCCAATCCTCCGTTCCTCCCAGTCTTCCCTCTTCTCCTCTCCCACTCACTCTCACCTCCTTGCCCACCCCCCCCCGTTGCCCACCCTGCCTCTCCCCTCCGCCGCCCCCACCCCCGTCTCTCTCTGTTTCTCTCTCTCTCTGTCTCTCGCTGTCTCTCAGGTCCACAGCGTCTCACACTCTACACCAGTATTGCTGTCCTACTCAGGTCCTTGACTCCATGAAGCTTACCCCCTCAGGCAGGCTGGCAGAGAGCAGGTAAGAGCTAGACCCATCCCTCCGCCCCTCCCCCCCTCCAGACAAACATGCAAGATCATTGCCAGACCCCTCCCCCCATCTCCCTTAGCCCTTGGTGTGACTGCGGAGTGGCTGTCTGAGTGCTTGACAAGAGTGCCTGCAAGGTCAGGTCAGGAGACCAAAGAGGACGCTTGGAATCTCTTTGGCGTTTGTCCTTCCTTTAAAAAAAAAAAATGCCTCCTAGAATCTGTGACATCTGAGCTGTGCGGAATGATGAATAGGAGATTGCCAGTTGGACTGGCTGGGGAAGGATGTTTAGGCACAAGGAACAATCTGCCCACACCTTGGGAGAACAACATTATTACCAAGCCAATTAGAAGATGTGTTTCGTGTTTTCCAATTAGAAGTCAACAAAAGGAAATATTAACATCAATGGCAAAAAAAAAGGCCAGGCTCTCCACCCCATTTGAAAGTTTAGAAATACTTGTGTTAAAGAGGAACTACGAATGGGATCTATAGGCTCTTTGGAATAAATGTCTGTGAGAAGACTACATTATTAAAACCTATGGAATATCACCATTGGGGTTCTAGAGGAAGTTATAGTCTTAAATGCTTTTATTAGAGAATAAGACAGTTTAAATTAAGTGAACTAATTATTCCCCTCAAGAAGCTAGAAAAAGAACAACCAAAAAAAAAAAAAACCCACAGAATAAAGTAATTACCATAGACAAAGCTTGAAATTAATGAAATAGAAAACAAAAGATAAAATAAGAAGTGACTTAACTTTTTTTTCCATTTTATTTGAAAGGCAGAGACAGACAGACAGATGGAGAGAGATCTTCCATCCACTAGTTCAACCCCTAAATGCCTGCAACCCCGGGGACTGGTCCAGGCCAAAGCCAGGAGTTCAGAATTGCATGCTCTTTTCCTATGTGGATGGCAGGAACCCAAGTACTTGCGCCATCACTTGCTGCCTCCAAGGGTGCACATTAGCAGGAAGCTGGATCAGAAGCAGAGGAGCTGGGACTTGAACCAGGCACTTTGATATGGGAGGCAGGTGTCCCAAATAACGGCTTAACTGCTCTGCCTCATGACCACCTCAAAAGATAGCTTTTAAAAAAGACTAGCAAATTAGGTAGAACGTCCTCTCTCTGACAGATACGACTGAGAAAAACATAAGAAAACAGAAAGAAAATAAGGTCTGAAGTAGGAGATTTAAACATAGATTCTGAGATGAAGAAAAAGTTACATCAAAATGCCTTGTATGCTTTCAGACCACTAAATGGGAAAGCCTCAATGACATGAGTAGTTTTCCAAGGAAATGCAGATTATCCAAAATGACTTGAGGACAGGCAGGAAATCTGAAGAGAAGAAAAAAGTATAGAAGAAACCAAAAAGATGGTCCAAGTTTTCTGCTCAGAAATGGTACCAGACCCACTTGGTATTCTGGAAGTTCTAGCAAATCGTGAAAGATCAGATGATAGGAAGAGACAAAAAGATTCCCAGGTTACTGTATAAAGATAGTATAACTAGACATACTTATTTTAAAAAAAGATTTATTTTATTTATTTGAAAGACAGAGTTACAGAGAGAGGTAGAGATAGAGAGAGAGATCTTCCATCTGTTGGTTCACTCCCTAGATGGCCACAATGGCCAGAGCTGTGCCCATCCCAAGCCAGGAGCCAGGAGCTTCTTCCAGGTCTCCCACTGGGTGCAGGGGCCCAAGGACTTGGGCCATCTTCCACTGCCTTCCCAGGCCATAGCAGAGAGCTGGATCGGAAGTGGAGCAGCCAGGTCTCAAACTGGTGCCCATATGGGATGCTGGCGCTTCATGCCAGGGCTTTAACCTGCTGTGCCACAGCGCTGGCCCTGACAGACTTTTTTTTTTTTTAATTTTTGTTTGAGAGGCAGAGAGAGAGAGAGAGAGAGAGAGAGAATGAATCAGTCTTCCATTTCTTTCTGGTTCACTCCCCAAATGTCTACAACAGCCAATGCTGTGCCAGACTGAAGAAGCCAGGAACCCAGAACTCCATCCAGATCTCCCACGTGAGTGGCAGGGACCCAACTACTTGAGTCTTCTACTGCCTTCCAGGGTGTGCAATAGCAGGAAGCTTGTTTGGAAACAGACCAGACTCTATCCCAGGCATCCCCACATGGATTGCAGGTATCCCAAGTGGAGACTTAGCCCACTGTGCCATAATGCCTGCTCCCGGACGGATTTAGACACATACACACACAAACTCCACTGTAGCCTAATCTCACATATTAGTAGAAAAGCGTTTTGTTTTTGTAAATTATTTATTTATTTGAGAGCAAGAGAGAGGACAGATAGAAAGAAAGCTTTCACTCTGCAAATGCCGGCAATGGCCCCAGGCTAGGCTGGGCCAAAGCCAAGAGTTAGGAACTCAATCATGTGGTTGACAGGAATCCAATACCTTCAGCCATCATGACTGCCCCCCCAGGGTCTGCATTAGTAGGAAGCTGGAGTCAGGAGCTGGAGCGAGGTTTGGAAGCCAGGCACTCCAATATGGGACATGACCTCTTAACCACTAAGCCAGATGTCTGCCCCAACAAATATTTAAACAAAAGATTGTTAATCAGAATCCAGCAGTGTATTAAAAGAAGAATATAGGGGCTGGTGTTGTGGTACAGTGAGTTATGCCACATTTGGGATGCCTTCAGCCTGTACTGGAATGCTGATTGATTCAAGTCCCAGGTGCATTAGCAGGATGTGGGAGACCCTGATGGAGTTCCAGGCTCCTGACTTTGGCCTAGCCCTAGCCATTGCCACCATTTGAGGAGTGAATCAACAGATGCAAGATACCTCTCTCTCTTTCTTGCTCTGCCCTTCATGTAAATAAATAAATCTTTAAAATAAATAAATCTTTAAAAAAAAAGCTATGTTATAACATGGGAACGTTTCCCAGGAGTGGGGATTGTTCAGCATTTTAGGAAGTCTGTTATTGTCATTGATCCTGCTAATAGACTTTATCAATGGTTAATAAAGAGAAAAGTTTATACTGTCATCTCCATAAATGATGCTAAATGATTTGATAAAATTACACACCCATTTTTTTTCTCTCAGCATTGACTTAGCTTGCTACCCAGCAATAAATAACTGATAGAGTAAGCTAAGAATCAATGAAAACTTCCTTAATGTGGTAAAGAACTTTTCTCAGAAACCAAAGGCAGTCATCAAATGCAGCAGTGAAGAACTAGATACATTTATATTAAATTCAGGAACAAAATAAGAATGACTGCTATCACTAGTACTAGCCAATGTTTTCCTGGTGGTTTTAGCCACTGGGATTAAGAAAGAAAGAAGATGTACAAATATTAGGTTTAGCGTTAATTGAACAGGGTATGATTTTCTACTTGGATAATTAAAGATAATAAAATTAAAAACTATTATAACTAATAAGAAAGTTCAGTTAATGAGTAGATATAAATATACACCTAAACCCTTAGCTTCTCTGAATATGAGCTATAACTAATTAGAAGACATAATTGAGGGACAGGCGTTGTGGTGCAGTGGGTTAAGCCACTGCATGGAATGCCCTCATGCCATATCAGAGTGCCTGAGGTTGAGCCGTGCCTCTGCTTCTGATCCAGCTTCTTGCTAATGCACCTTGGAGGTAGCAAATGATGGCTCAAGTATTTGGCCGCCTCCCTCCCACATGGGAGACCCTGATGGAATTCCTGGCTCTTGGCTTTGAACTAGCCCAGTCCCAGTTGTCACAAGCATTTGGGAACTGAAACAGCTAATGGAAAATGCCTCTCTCTCTCTCTCTCTGAATCTCTCTGAATCTCTCTGAATCTCTCTCTGCCTTTCAAGCAAATTTTTAAAATAAATTTTAAAAATAAACATTAAAGAAGAGGTAGACATAACGGAAGAAGATCCCGTTCACAGGGCCAGTGCCGTGGCTCACTTGGTTAATCCTCCGCCTGCAGCGCTGGCATCCCATATGGGCGCCGGGTTCTAGTCCCGGTTGCTCCTCTTCAAGTCCAGTTCTCTGCTGTGGCCCGGGAGAGCAGTAGAGGATGGCCCAGGTGCTTGGGCCCTGCACCTGCATGGGAGACCAGGAGGAAGCACCTGGCTCCTGGCTTCGGATTGGTGTAGCTCCGGCCGTAGCAGCCATTTGGAGGGTGAACCAAGGGAAGGAAGACCTTTCTTTCTGTTTCTCTCTCTCACTGTCTAACTCTGCCTGTCAAATAAAAATAAATAAATAAATATCCTATTCACAGCAGCAGCAAAAAAAAGTATGAAATCTCTAGGAATTTATAAGAAATATAAAATACTTCTGTGTAGAAAGCTATAAAATTCCATTGAAGGTTATAAGAAGACTTGAGTAAATCAAGAGCCATATCCTATTCCTGGATGAGAAGACTCAGTATGATAAAAATGACATTTTTCCCCAATTTGGTCAAAAGATTTGATGCGTTTCTCATTAAAGTTCCAATAGTATTTTCTTTGGAACGTGGGCAACTGGATTCTAAAGTTTATTTGGAATAATGAATGCCCACGAGTTAACAAGAAAATTTTGAATAACAAGAATAATGGAGAATACTCGCCTTGTTATATACAAAAACTTTTACCATAAAGCTGCCAGAATCACAAATGTTATATCATCACAGCAACAGAGGAATACACAAGTGGAACAAACTGGAGTTCAGAAACAAACTCATGTATTCATATGAGAATCTGATTTGTTGTAAAGATAATTTGATAAGCTAAAGATAATTTGATTTATGATAAAGAAGACATTTCAAATTAATGGGGACTCAGTGGCTGGCATGAGACTATTTGCTACCCATTTAAGAAAGAGAAAATAAATCCCTAGTTCACACACAAACAAAAACACCAAACAACAACAGCTGTAAAAGTACTAGAAGAAAATCTGGAATATTTTTATAATGTAGTATTAGTATGAAACATATCTTCTTAGGACTTAATACCTCAGAAGGCATAAAATAAATAGTATTAATTTTTGCTTTATTAAAATGAAATACTTCTGTGTGTG